GATGTAAAATTGTTTGAAAATTAATTGAACATTTTTTAAAAATGATTTTTTCCCGCATTATAACCAAAATGGGTATTTGAATGTATACAAACTATATGCATTATGCTTATATGCTTGAATGTGTTATCACTCTCCTCACGTCCAACAATGGCGTTTCTCTTGTCGCTCATATACTTATGTCCTTATAGCTGGTCGGATGAATTCCAAATTTGAGTACTGAATCTTTTGTCATATTCTCTTAAACGCCAAGAAATAGTTTAGAACCTAATAAATAAACACAGAATTTAAGCAGGAAATATTTCATAAACTTTACCAATTTTGGGAAAAGTCAAACAACATGCGTTCTTTACAATTTTTCTTTAAAATCGGCAAATAGTTTTATGAAGGAGCAAATAGTTTTATGGGAATTAGTCTGTACTCTTTGTGAATATTTAGGAATTCTAATATTGAGATATCTGTCAGTACTCATTATAGGGATGTGCAGATAGTCATTGTCAATAAGTACATCGGCTTTTACTAATTAGCTAATTCACTCTCCAGTGTAGATATTCATTGTCAATAAGTACATCGGCTTTTACTAATTCACTCTCCAGCGTGCTATCACGTGAATTTTTTCAGTTTTGCAGCCGTAAGAAACAGTCATACCTAAATCCCCAACCTAACCCTAAATAATCCCGAAGATCGAATAATAACCGTAACCACAATCCAATCCCACGGTGCAGAGTAAAGTAGTTTCAAAATATTTGAACTTCAGAACAGTTTTATTTTAAAGCAGTTTTGATTTACTTCAAAGTTGTCGACTGAAAACAGTTTAGTTTTTAAACACTTAAACAGTTCTAATGCAAAGTGATTTTGATTTGAGAGAGATTAGGATTGAATCTATTTATTTCACTTTGAAATTGCTTTCAAACTAAACGGTTTGAGATAAATAACTGTTCAATCATACCTTATTTTTCATACTTTCCATTTCAATTTTCAACTATCATGTTCAGCTGCAACACCTTTGAAAACACTATTTGAAAACTTAATAGATAAAGTTACAAGAACTTCTCAAACTCCACTATAATATGATAATATCCAATAACTGACCAATTATCTAAAACAGCTCAATTATAAGTACAGTAAGAAGCATAATGGCTTGTTTTGTACCCTTAATTGTTTCACACGTGATACACAAGTTGCTAATTGTAAAACTGAACTCTCTACTCTATCCTAAGTCATCTGGGAACATGAATTATAAAAGTATAATGGTTTACAGTTAAGTTTTACCGACAAACAGGTTATTATAGGCTTGTATGGTTTAATTTTGTAGAAGTAAAACGTGAGGATATAATGAGTGTTTTAATAAGTGCACTTTCCTTACTTCACTTGGTTACAGGTTAGTCAAACTACTAACTATAGCGGAACCCGTCTAACCCTAAAGTGGTGTCAAGACTCAAGAGACTAAAATAATTATTACCTATTTAATTCGCGTTTTTGACACCACTTGGGGGTCCAAATTTTGGGCTCTAAAACTCCTATTTCTTGGCCAATTTTTTATTTTTTCATGCTGATTTGAAGGCCATTAAAGCATTTGACCCAGTCAAAAAAGTTTCAGTTGTATATCTTTTACGGTCTTTGCGGAAAGTCGTGTTAAAGTTGATGCCGTGGTGTCAGTAAAATGGCATGGATAAATAAATATATATATATCGTCTCGCTTTATATATAGTAAGATGTAGAAAAATAATTGCACGATATTGATAGCAAAAACAATGATAATTAAACAAAAGGTAAATGACGTATTAAATAGAAAAAAAGGCGCAGAATGGTTTCTGAAAATTCAGACGTCCGTTCTCCGGAGTAGATGGTCTCTAAAAAGATCACAGTCAGAGAAAAGATCCTTATTTACTGATCTCAGTACTACGGATTCATCCGGACTGGACATAGCTGCTTGATAAACACTAAACAGCACAGCCACATTATGAATTTTGTGAGGCTTTGCTTATACTTATAGGCCAGTTGTGAGGACAATATTTTATAATTTATCACCTCATCAGTGAACAGACATGTAAAAACTTCCACCTGAAATTAAAACTTGTGAGATTTTATTTTACTTCGACAATTCGATTATATTTATACGTATAAGTATATATATATATAATATACAAAAAACACCTTGGCTATAAAACTGAGCTGGTACATAGTATTTAATATAATCGTGCTATAATCACGGTGATTTATCAAACTAGCTTCTAAGTCTAACTCAATTAGTCATGAGCTCTGTAATTCTAAAGCCTACTTCGATAACACAATTATATTCACAAAAGGATGTCTGACCATAAAACTAGGTCGCAGTTTAACATACAATTAATACTATAATAATCATGATGATTTATTTGACTATTTTACAAGTTATTGAATTTCTAAGTGCAGACATGTGAAAAATCTTCCTCCTAGTGAAATTAATTTTTTGCTTTACTCCGACTTATATCTATATTATATTTTAAACTTGACGAAATTTCCCCGGCAACGGGGACATAGAAGAAAAAACACCGAAAATCGACCTCAAAATGACCCTCTGGTGATGCCAAACCCAGCTCGCAAATGGAGTTGAAACCTCGCCATTTTTAGCAGGGTTGTAGAAAAAGGATAGGAATAGGCTATAGCATTCTTAGAATTTTGATTTAGGCTTTAGATTTTTTATAATTAACGTCGGAAGTGAGGTAAAATAACCGTTAGAATAATGTCGTTATTTTAGCAAAGGTTTACTGCGCTGTTGCGTAGCAACGTTAAAATGCACGTGCGCGAGCAATAACATCTTAACTACGCGCGTTGTTATGCTGTATGCTACGTCATAATTTCAAAACTAGCTCACATTTACGCTCACGCTATGACTTATATTCATAACTTTGGTTGTGACTGGTATTTTTTGATGCGGTAAAAAGTATCGTTTTGGGAATCCGAATACTAACAACGCTGTCGCCATTGTTAGATAAATTCCATTATGTCTACAGTATAACAGAGCTATATGATGAAGAGAAATTAAAACATAACTGATTTTTAAAATTTCCTCGAACAAAGCTTTCGACTAGCGGGTTTCTAGTTATATTATATCAGGGAGCGGCTTCAATGTCCGAGCAACTCAATATTAGGGGTCACGTTCACATATTACGTTATCAGCCGAGGGGGAAATTTTTGACCACACAGTTGCCGCAGTTAAAAAGGGTAGGAGTAATTACCAGCTGAGTCAAAACCCGGATTAGGCGAGCAATTCTATTCGGAGTGCCCTCACGTATCCAATAGTATCCTTAAAAGATAGTATCTTAAACAATAATCAATAGAAATTAACCCTTATAACACCATGCACCACACCCGCCTATCATATTTGTGAACATGCATTACATTGTCGTATGAAAGTATGAACTCTCTAGTCTCTCTACAGTCCAAACAGACCGTTTGAGCTCTCCCTCCCCTAATAAAGTAATAAGTTTATAGTATTACATGACCATGTAATATATACGCCATGCATGTAATATATACGCTACATAATATTATGCAGAGAGAGAGAGAGAGAGAGAGAGAGAGAGAGAGATAGAGAGAGAGAGATAGAGAGAGAGAGATAGAGAGAGAGAGAGAGAGAGAGAGAGAGAGAGAGAGAGAGAGAGAGAGAGAGAGAGAGAGAGAGAGAGAGAGAGAGAGAGAGAGAGAGAGAGAGAGAGAGAGAGAGAGAGAGAGAGAGAGAGAGAGAGAGAGAGAGAGAGAGCGAGAGAGAGAGCGAGAGAGAGCTAGCCCCGTAACTCTTGCCGTTCTGCTCAAGCCATTTTATGTAACATTTGTGGAACAAAACCATCAATTAAACCACTTATCACCGGCCGATTTTTATAAAATTTGCTTATTGGCTTCGTCAGAGTTTTGTCGGCACTATACCGAAAAAAACCAGTCCCGTAACTCTTACCGTTTTTTTTGTATAACCGTTCAGAAATTTCAAACATACACACACACACACACACACACACACACACACACACACACACACACACACACACACACACACACACACACACACACACACACGGATTTCTTGAGATTATTAAGGTTGATAAGGTCTGAAGTGCCCAATTTTAAAGATATTCATAAAAAACTGTTTTTTTGTTTGTTCATTGCGGCCCAAAATTAGGATTGTAGGAAGGTCGTTACCTGGGGACCTCAGGCTATTATATTTATGTTCATAATCATATTCGCCGAATAGAGATTCGGCGGAATGACAGGCTGAGCGCGGCTTGTATCACGTTGCGACCCCCACGGTCGTTTCACTATATCGTTTCACTTTATCGTCCTGACGATACAGGGGGAGCCGCGCACTTCGTGCGCGGCGGGTCATACAACGTATGACAAAGCGCGGCCCAGTACGAAAGGTCACAGAAACTTAATAACTTTTCAAAATATTGAAAATAGTGGCAATGACCACATTTATATAAGACTTATGAATCATAATGTGCCTGAATATATATGGCGATTTTGGGGTTTTTTAACCAAATTTTGTATAAGATTAAAACTAGTCACTAACAGTGCTGGCGAGTATTTTGCGCAAATTTCTTAAAAACCTCCACATAACTATTTCTTATTCCTGTCATCTTTGAAATCGAATTATAATGAACTAAAAATAAACCTGCTGAACGACTACCAATAAGACTTAATGACCGAACAAACAGTAAAGGGGATATAATAGTATTAGTATAGAATGTATAAAAGGCACGGTCATGCTTGCCAGCATTGTAATATACTCGTGGGTAATGGAAAACATATTATATGTCATCAGTCATGTTTATGCCCCTGGCGTTCTCAGCTCATAATTTTGTTCTTGCCTGTTTTGGTCTCCAAACAGAAACATATCTCTTAACCCCTCTGATCTTTACTCTGATTTTAAAGTTCATATTACGCCTCCTCAAATTGATTTCGAGTCATTTTTCGATATTTTAATTATATTCTAATTAACCAGGCATAATTTGACTATTTTTTTTCGCTGAACTTGCTTCTTTCACGTTAAAGCTAATTAAAATTTAACACAATAATAATAATAAATAACTACTGAATGAACACAACACTGAACACATTTCCTTCATTGTTAGATAAGTAGTACTACTAGATACTAGTTACCTAGCAACGTCATTGTCCTCTTGTAAAGTGACTTAATATAACGCTATTGTTCCCCAGTGTATGTTCCTTCTTGTAAAGTTCATGTCATCATGCAAGTCCGTCTCCAGTTCCTCGTTCTGTGGTTTACAATTATAAGTAATATATGTTTTAAACTAATTACAACACTACAAATCTATTGCACGGCAAAATAAAAAGCACGATTCCAATTTCCACATTCCAGATTTGTTATGTTTTGGTAATGGTATTTATAATCGATAATACATAACATGGCACATCATAACTGCATGAGACCAACTATATAAGAGGAGAAACGAGAAACAATAACGTAAATCTGTAACTTCATCAAATAATTTGAAACATTAAAGCCCGTCTTAGTCTTATACTTTGATTAAAAATAACTATAACAAAAGCAAAAAGCTCGGAAATGTATAAATTTGGCATGGTTAGTACCTGACACTTCAATGAAAATTGATAACCGAAAATATTTCTAATGTTATTCTAGCCGTTTTATATGGAGTTAAACGATTATCCCATTTTGGGCGATATCAAAAAGAGACACGCCCTGATAAGAACTGTAGCCAGGTTTATATTGGACTCCTCTCAAGATTAGTTGTGGCACTGATTAGTCGTGCCGCACACCAATTTCCTGTTGGAACGACCTATGCTATGGTCCATAAAATAGGTCGTTTCAAGAAGAAATTAGTGTGCACCAGGGTAGGAGGGCCACGGGGAACAATACAGTAAATAACATAACTGGAGGATACGGTCCGCGCTTCAGTATAATAAGATTAAAGTGACCAGATTTCCATATAAAACATAGCACTAGCTATCAATACCCATAATATCACTTGATCACAGTTAGTACTATCACAGCTCATCTCTAGACCTCAGCAGGAGTTTGCCTTGCTGTAAAACTTGGCTCCCCACGAATACTCGCAGGTGTTTCATCATCTCGTAGTGGGAGATCTTGTTATCTTTGTCGTCGTCTGTCTCCTCTGTGGATTTTAAGGTATTAGTTGTCTTATTTTGAGCTGAATTGATCAGGAAGTACATGTCCATTGAGCGTTGATGGATTAAAATATAGCCAGTTATGGTCATACTACACAATATAGTAGAGTTGTCAACATCAGCATTAATGTTAACAGATAATGTTCTCACTCATGATATGTACAGCTTCCTCGTGAGCAGGATCGTAATCGTAATGTGGTGGGAACAGGTAGTTCTCTACTTCCGGGTGAGACAGCTTGCTGTCCTGAAATAAAGTTACAACTTAAATAACTGTTATACTACTTATCATTGTATAGTAAGGGGAAAAGTGGCATTCCGTTGGATTCGAATGTTCACAAGGATTTCTCAACGGAATATGGTAGTTAGGACCCCTACGAACATAATTAGACTTGTTGCCAATTTTGTATCTCAACGGAAACACCACTTTTACCACTTTTTACCACCTTTGTACCACCTTTCTGGTTTGCCAAATATCTTTAGTTGTGAACATCATAGAAGGCTGCAAATTAACCTAGAATGTTTATCTTATCAAGGAGTAAAACTTTTGTATCAAAAGTTTTTACATCGGACAATCAGCTAATTGGATAATTACCAATTAGTTAATCACCAAAAAAAGTGAAAAATTTTTATTGGCTTAAAATGATTGAAATCGTTTGAAACACGGAGAAATGTAGTTTTTAGAAAAACTTCAAAAATTTTTCACTTAAAATTTTTTTTCGAGACTTGAAAAAAAAGTTTGAAAATTTGAAAATATTTTTTTTCCGCCAAAAGTGATCGAATTGCATGAAACGTGGATAAAAATGCTTTGCAGAAAAACTTCGAAGATTTTTAGATTGGGGAATACTAAAATCATCAATATTTGAAGTTGGAGTTCAGTAAATCTCGACATATTTTAGTAATTAGGAATAGCTTAGCGGAAAGGGCTGGACCTGAAAAAGGTTAACCACACAATATTAGAGTTTCATAACTAATTACAATACAGCTTTATCAAATTCCACATAAAGAAACAGCACAAAAGGACCATTTAAGATCGAACCGATTTTACCTGCTGTACTATCATTTTATTGATTTCAATGATCAAAACCTCTGTCAATCTTGCCAATCTATACCGGGTATCTGAATGTACCGGACCTCTTATTTACCTCTATAATTAGACCCAGTTGTGCAAGAAATGCGATTTCTCACAGGGGTTTCTTTAAACTGTGCACTTTTTATCACTCTCGCAACTCGCAAGAGGCCTGGTATTATAGGAAGCGAGGTAAATATACCTTCCATCATCCATTGTGGCTTTTTTGTATTGTGAATGCGCATGCCGCTTCGTTTGCTATGCCATATACCTCGAATAACCCCCATATGTCATTGCCAGGGTCGGGATAGAGCTGGAGATAGCATTGAAAAGTTGCTAGAAATAGCTAGATTTAGAGTAAACTGGTGGTAGCTGGGTGGTGCTAGCATGGATGTAGCAGAACGTAGCTACACGGGGTTTCATTGGAGTTGGTTATTTTAATGGCCAAAGAGTGCCGGAACTAAAGTTACTTAAGATTGCAGTTTAGGGGCAGTGTAAACCACGGTGTAGTCAGGGACACAGAGCTACAGTGCAGGAGTACTGCAAAAGAACAGTGCAAGTGATACAGTCTGCAACAGTAAAACTCCGAAGAAGGAGATAAGATTGTGGCTGCAGAGGAGGAGAGTAGCTGGAACCTGATTGTGTTTGTGTTGAAAGAAGAGGAGGAAGAAGAGTTTCCTGCTCTGGTAACTGTATTTTTGGAAGAGGTGGGGTGAGAACTTATTTTCAAGCGACAAGGGTGGGCTGGAAGCAACCAGATACAGCTATCCGACCTATTAAGATCACCGTCCTGAGCTTAACAGCATTTCATCAGAATCTTATGAAAACAGAGAGACTGACCCACCCTTTTTAGATCCAACGAAACCCTTTATATAAATCGACTTTTCTGCATGAATTACTTCATGGTATCTTCTTATCAAGGCTACAGACCTTGCCGTACCGGATTTATTGATCAAAGTGAGTCTCTTTAGCCCTCTTCTTCTTTAGAGCTTTAGGTTAGTGATCAAACTCTTCGCTACTCGCTCTTCACTGGATCTATCAGGACAGATTCACATCTTTTTAGGTCTCAACCAGCCTTAGTTTTCCTGTTTTCATCATGTAGTACGTTCTGCTACCTCCATTTTAGCACCACCCAGCTTCCATCAGTTCACTCTAAGTCTAGCTTCGTCGGCGTTTTACTGTTGCAGACTGTATCACTTGCACTGTTCTATTGCAGTACTCCTGCACTGTAGCTCTGTGTCCCTGACTACACCGTGGTTTACACTGCCCCTAAACTGCAATCTTAAGTAACTTTAGTTCCGGCACTCTTTGGCCATTAAAATAACCAACTCCAATGAAACCCCGTGTAGCTACGTTCTGCTACATCCATGCTAGCACCACCCAGCTACCACCAGTTTACTCTAAATCTAGCTATTTCTAGCAACTTTTCAATGCTATCTCCAGCTCTATCCCGACCCTGGCAATGACATATGGGGGTTATTCGAGGTATATGGCATAGCAAACGAAGCGGCATGCGCATTCACAATACAAAAAAGCCACAATGGATGATGGAAGGTATATTTACCTCGCTTCCTATAATACCAGGCCTCTTGCGAGTTGCGAGAGTGATAAAAAGTGCACAGTTTAAAGAAACCCCTGTGAGAAATCGCATTTCTTGCACAACTGGGTCTAATTATAGAGGTAAATAAGAGGTCCGGTACATTCAGATACCCGGTATAGATTGGCAAGATTGACAGAGGTTTTGATCATTGAAATCAATAAAATGATAGTACAGCAGGTAAAATCGGTTCGATCTTAAATGGTCCTTTTGTGCTGTTTCTTTATGTGGAATTTGATAAAGCTGTATTGTAATTAGTTACAAAACTCTAATATTGTGTGGTTAACCTTTTTCAGGTCCAGCCCTTTCCGCTAAGCTATTCCTAATTACTAAAATATGTCGAGATTTACTGAACTCCAACTTCAAATATTGATGATTTTAGTATTCCTCAGTCTAAAAATCTTCGAAATTTTTCTGCAAGGCATTTTTATCCACGTTTCATGCAATTCGATCACTTTTGGCGGAAAAAATATTTTCAAATTTTCAAACTTTTTTTTTTGAAGTCTCGAAAAAAAATTTTAAGTGAAAAATTTTTGAAGTTTTTCTAAAAACTACATTTCTCCGTGTTTCAAACGATTTCAATCATTTTGAGCCAATAAAAAATTTTCACTTTTTTTGGTGATTAACTAATTGGTAATTATCCAATTAGCTGATTGTCCAATGTAAAAATTTTTTGATACAAAAGTTTTACTCCTTGATAAGATAAACATTCTAGGTTAATTTTCAGCCTTCTACGACGTTCACAACTAAAGATATTTGGCAAACCAGAAAAGTGGTACAAAGGTGGTAAAAAGTGGTAAAAGTGGTGTTTCTGTTGAGATAAAAAATTGGCAACAAGTCTAATTATGTTCGTAGGGGTCCTAACTACCATATTCCGTTGAGAAATCCTTGTGAACATTCAAATCCAACGGAACCCTTAAATCGACCACTTTTCCCCTTACTAGTAGTTTATGTGCCGTCCCAGGAATTATTATCCATAGTTGTGCTCATGTTAGTGACATTAGTAACTAACTCTTTTTGTGGTACATTTTCTGTCAGGAGAACTATACATGACAGTAGGACATGGACAGCTGCAGCTGTCGTCAACAATAAACATATCCTTCAGCCAGGCAATCAAATATTATGAAAGGGATAGTTTGAAATAATCTGCCCTGATACCACCATTAATCTCGCTGCTCTAAATATCATTATCCACGACCCCCGTGATATGAACTCTCACCACCACAGGTGTGGATCATGCCGTGTTCTTATAATTATGAAGCGCAAGGAGAATCAAATATCGGGGCCGTGTTCAATAATAATAACAGTTCAATAATAATCATGGTTTCGCTGGGATCATTATTTTATGGTTTCATGTCTGGTACCATTGTGTATACAGATCAAGGTCCCATAGTGGTTCTTTCCTTTCATTAATATCTTCTACTTCTAAAGGAACCCGCCGCTGGTCAGAGCCATTCTATTCCGTGCTGCACTTCATGGCAGAATCATCCTACCTACCTGCCTAGGTCGATCTGCCTAGGCAGAATCATAACAGATAAAAAATAGCAAATAGGTCACAGTCACATGAATTTCGTTGTCGTTTGTTGTACCTTATTTTCGTCGATTTTAGAAAAGCGCTCATTTAAACCTAGCTCCCAGTCGTCTCCTGTGTTTAGATCCTTCAACTCAACACTTTGAGCTGAGAAATATTAATTTGTTAATGATCGGAGGTACCTTTCTTATATCTCATTCAGCACTCCACCCAGGATAACATCCATAATTTTACACGATATAGTTCAACAATTGCATAAGTTTTAAAAGCACTACTACACAGATTGGAGTGCTACTAAAGTGCTAGTAAGTAGTATATCCCTCATATAATACTCTAGTATTGTAGTGAGTACTCACAGATAGGAGTGCTACTCTAGTATTGTAGTGAGTACTCACAGATAGGAGTGCTACTCTAGTATTGTAGTGAGTACTCACAGATGTACTCCTCGAATGACAGGAAGTAGTCCCCATCAGCGTCTCTGTCGTCAATGTACTCATCAACCAGCAGGCCATGCATGTGCTGATGATGCATCTCGTCAGGTGCGTAGAACGGCCCAAACTCGTTCCTAAAAAACAAATGAGTAGTGCCTTCTTCGGTGTAGTTTCTTAAACATCATATTAATCTTATAGTATTTAATCTCATAGCATTTCTTAAGACTAAAGACCACAAAATCTTAAATAGAATCCCTCGCTAAAGCTTTGGTTTTTGCTTCATGATTTTCTTTAGTGTAGTATCTTTTGGGGTTTTATCGAATAGTTCTCTCAGACTCATGGAAGCACTTAACATTTTTAAAGAGACAAAATGGTACAGAGTATTAAAAAGACTTACAATGATAGTCTACTATCTCCGTCTTGGTACACAGTATTAAAAATACTTACAATGATAGTCCACTATCTCCGTCTTGGTACACAGTATTACAAATACTTACAATGATAGTCTACTATCTCCGTCTTGGTACACAGTATTACAAATACTTACAATGATAGTCCACTATCTCCGTCTCGGTACACAGTATTAAAAATACTTACAATGATAGTCCACTATCTCCGTCTTGGTACACAGTATTAAAAATACTTACAATGATAGTATCTTAGATGGCAAGTACGTACGGTACAGGGCTTTAAGTACGTACGGTACAGCTACTTTTAAAGGTACGTACCGTACAGGCACTGTAAGGTACAATTTTTTTTCAAATTTTTAGAATCAACTTCAGTGAATTACTTGCAATTTTTGATTAGTATTATCATCATAATTTTTGAGATAGAAGTCGAAAATTAACACAGTGGTTAAAACAATAAAAGATTTAAGAGGAAAATGTGTGTACCGGATCGCTCTTAACCGGTACTACACTACTACTACTTGTAATTATCGTTAAACTCAAAGCTTCATCCTTTTGTTGCAGTATACGAACACCAGCTTTTCAGCTAGCTCAGGTCGCAACCTTAATCTACGCTTGTCCATAATATACTCGTAATCTCTAAAATTGGTCTCACAAATTGACGAAGAACTTAAAACACTGAATACTATTTGGGCCAACTGTTTAAGCAGAAAAAGTTCTCCTCCAAAATATTTCCAGTATATTGACGGATTAATAAGCTTCATAGGTTCGAATTCCGCATCAGTGTAGGGTTTAACCCCTTCTCTGTCGCACGTACCGCGCGTCTAGATTTTGTTTCCATTGCTATCAACTGGATTCAACCTTTCAGCCTACTTTATTAAGTACGTACCGTACAGCTAATTTTAAGGTACGTACCGTACGAACTTACCATCTTAGGATAGTATACTATCTCCGTCTTGGTACACAGTATTAAAAATACTTACAATGATAGTCTACTATCTCCGTCTTGGTACACAGTATTACAAATACTTACAATGATAGTCCACTATCTCCGTCTTGGTACACAGTATTAAAAATACTTACAATGATAGTCTACTATCTCCGTCTTGGTACACAGTATTAAAAATACTTACAATGATAGTCTACTATCTCCGTCTTGGTACACAGTTTAAAAATACTTACAATGATAGTCTACTATCTCCGTCTTGGTCAGCCTGTCTCCATCTGGCTACCAGTCTGTTTTCAGTTTTCTCAGTAGGAGTGGCAGTGCCCGGTTTTCTAGCTAAACAAGATCTGTACTCCTTAAAGGTTATGTCGTGGTCCTGCAAGGAAAGGGTTATCAACTGTCGTGAAATACATTTTAGTGGTACGTTCCACTTACTATACCTGACATTTTCATGGTTTTATAAGATCTCAGGTGCAAATTAGTTGACATATAGTTTAAATGTCTGCTCGGTGTTCGTGTTTATTAGAGTCTCAAGCCGTAGAGTCCCGGGCCTGTTTATTAATTATACTGAAAGCGGTATTTCAACGATAAACTGACTTCATTTTAACAGGAGCCCACCCAGCCCAGTTTAGCTCAAAGATTATCCCTTTAATTATCAGGACATTTGTCATTTTTTGATTAATCACGATCGTCTTAGTGGAACTTTTCATCTCTTTTTCTATTTCGTTCACACTTCACAGTTAGAGGTTCTGAGAATTCCCATTTCCTCCTCCATGTGAAAATTACGGAAAGTGTCTTTAGTGACCTCAGCCTCAGCCCGTTATCAGCGCACCAATTCATAATGACTCCAAGACTTTTCTGTGTCATCTCTCTCAGATGATCAAAGTCTTTGTTACCACTTGTGGCCGGTCCTCCAACGTGGCTAAGAGAGCAAGGTCATCCGCGAGTCCTTGTACATCGCATGGGATCTTGTCAGGAGACTGCCAACCATTCGTAATTGATCAAGATCAGCAGAATGTCGCTATTATATATATATGGAGCTATATCATTGGATAGCGAAAAATGTAAACCATATATTCTGAATCGAAGATGACTGCCGATGATCCTTCGCAGGATCATCGGCCTTCCAACTCTATATTATAGGCTATGCCTATATCTGATAAGATAAATTGCCTTTATCTCACCAGCCCCCCGAACATGTCAATTCATTACGGAGCCAGGGCCGGAGCTGAGTAATAATATCTTTGTAGGAGGAGATAATATTGCTCCATGTTATTCTCATATACTGGGGCACGCTCGAGCTCGTATCACATAAACTTGTCAGATTACTGGAGTACTGGACCCGTACTCTCCCGTACTGTACCACACTTGATAAGTTGCTACCACTGATTTACCCAAGTCGGAAGTGAGGTTGAACAGTTTCCAATCAAATATATATGCATGTTCACGTGCTTGATAGATTAATGGCTACTTCGTAGTTATCACATTATGGCGGTGGTGGAGAAAGAGAAATCATATTACCATTTTATCAAATGCAGGGGATGTCTTCACTCAGTCACTCACTTATTTGCAACATAAGTTTAGCATAATTGTCGAGCCGATTGTTTAAAGTTTCTCCCGATATAAGCTGTAACCAATTCATTTTATTGACCTAAATGTATGTAATAGTGCCACTTCACACTTCGTTTTCACGGCTTGTTTCAACTTAAAAACCAAGGGTCGATCAGGACTGGGAACAGAAGAGGGACTGGAGTAAAGTGTAGGGACTTAACCCGGGGCTGGGATTCCAGAACAGGGATGGCGAGATTTTCAGGTTAAAACAAATAGAATATAACGGGCAACACAGCCACTTTCAATGGATGTTTAAGTATAAAATATAATCCAACAGCGTTGGTCTATTCTAAGGTAGAATTTTAGTCTAGCAACTTGATTAGTAACTAGTAACTAGTAACTATAAACCAAGTTACTAACTAGTAACTAGTAACTAGTAACTACCTCCGCATAAATTTCAAGAATACTCTTCGTTTTGATTTATTGCGTAAAAGGCGTATTGACTATTGTATAGATCTATTTGTTGTAAACCTGTAAACCTGTAAACCTTGCAGCATTCCTAGTATTCCCTAGTAATTTCACACATTAGCAGGAACCCGTCAAACTCTAAAATGGTGTCAAGAGAATACTCTAATTATATATTTCGCAATTTTGGTACTACTTGGGGTTTAAATTTGGGCCGATATTCCTTGGCCAATTTTGTATTTCTTCATACTGATAGAAATGCCGTTAAAGAATTTGATCGAGATAAAACAGGTTCAATTGTATATCTCACACCGTTTTTTTGCGGAAAGTCGTGTTAAAGTTGATGCCGTGGTGTCAGTAAAATGGCAACAGATCGTCTCGCTTAGATGTAGTAAGATTCTGGCGTAATGTTATGTCCAGTTTAATCAATAAGCCTGAAAATGGATGTGCTGAAAAGTGCAATGGAAAATATGTTCCCGAACGACCAAAACCTTACGTTGGTAAAAACTAATACCTTATCGTACCTTATTTGGACGGACATTACTTGAACGCTGGAGGCCCTAGCGTTCATCTTAATTTCCGTTCAAATAAAGTCCGTTCAATTAATGTCCGTCCAAGTTAAAGTCCGTTGAAATTTTTTCAAAAATTTTTCCATTCCGAACTTTTTGTCCAGAATATGACAACTTTAAGAACTTTATTGTGCCGTAAGTTAACGACGGAAAGGTTCTCCTTGGTCTGCCGGAGGCACAGAAAACTTTACTTGTTCCAGCCTATAGATATTACTGTAAATCGTGTTGCCAAGGACATTGTCCGACGTTGTTATAGCTCATATTACTCAGGGGAGGTAATGAAACAGATAAGTGATGGGAAAGCTCCACGTGATGTTAAGGTTAACCTTAAGTTGTCTAAGATAAAACCACTTCACGCCGAATGGCTTGTAAAAGTTAACACTGAAATGCAGGACCGGGGTAGTTTGATAAAAAAAGGTTTCCATATAAAAGCTAGAATTCACACATGGACTATTTCATGCACGAAAACTCATTTGATGAAGATGATATGTGATATTAGAAACTGATAATGTACACATATTTTAAAATTTTTACTGCTCAATGACTGCTTTTCTTACTTTCTGTATAAAAAATGGATTTAAAAATCATTTGCTGAAATTAAAAAACGTCAAATTTTTTTAAAAATTCGGATTTTTGATGGTTTTGAATGCCTTCGAGCGTTCATATTAATGTCCGTTCATAATTATGTCCGTTCATGTAATGTCCGTCCAAATAAGGTCCGATAAGGTAGTACTCAATCCAGGTCTTCTTGAACGCGTGTCACCGAGCTCCGTCACAAAAATAGAATAAAATTTGGTAGTGTTTATCTTTTCTCGAATTAATCCTCACGATCGCGCAATGTTTTTATTCTAGCAAAGAGTGAAGAGTGCTTCAGTGGTTTTGTTCTAGAAGCTTTAAGCACTTATATTTAATAAATACGGGGTATTGTTCGTTAGTTCAAAGAATTCACAGTCAACAGTCGTATTCACGATTCAGCAGTCATCTCCGACTGATTTCTTTGCCATTCCGTGATTGGGACACCGCAATCTTGCAGCCAGGCCGTTATTAATGAGCTTTCCCTAGAACAGAATATCGACGTTTTTGCGGCTCACACGGGTCACATGGGTCACATATTGTCATGTTGACTCGTGATGAGCTAGCCATCACGGGTCACATATTGTCATGTTGACTCGTTATGAGCTAGCCATCAGCGATCCCCAACCGAAAATGTTTGACTCCATTTACGCACATACCTTCTTTTTGTTGCACTCGAAGAAGGCATGCATGATGTTGTTATCCAGATCGTGGTGGTAGATATGCTGCATCCAGTGTTTCAGTTCGTCTAGGTTTATCTTCATATCATTGTCGCGGTCTATTCTCTGTTCAACCTGTAATTTGTGTTTTTTACTGGAAATTTTATTTTTTAAAGCAACAAAGTGGTAACAAAGACAGTCTCGCCAGATCTACAAAAGTTGAATTAATAAAAAATAAAGCAACAAACCAGCCAGTACAGCATGTCCTCGAGTTCTGCTGGCTTCATGTTCAGAACGTTAGTAGCGTACTCTCCTAGGAATACATGCTCGTGGGTGTGATCACCGGTATCTGATGCTCCGTATATCACACTCTGTAACACTCTGTGGGAAACTATTTTAGTTCTCCTTTACCACATTTTAGAACAAACTCGTCTATTAGTTCTCATCTATTACATTGTAGAAAATATTGACGTAATATAAACGTGTACTATAAATGGAGTGTCTTCTCAGGGAGAATCAGTGCGGATTTAGACAGAACCGTCAATGTATTGATCAGATTTATTCTCTCCGAACTATTATTCATAACTGTCTTGAGTTTAACATCCCTCTTAACATTAATTTTGTCGATTTCAAGGCAGCGTTCGATTCTATCAGAAGGGACTTTATTTGGTGCAGTATGAGACACTATGGGCTGCCTGAAAAATATGTCAGAATATTTCAGTCATTTTTTGGGGGTACCATGAGTGCCGTGAGGGTTAATGGGGAGCTGACAGACTGGTTTGATGTTAACTCAGGCACAGGTCAGGGTGACGTTCAAGCACCTCCTGTCTTTAATTTCTGCTTAAACTTTTCTGCATTTCTGGCGGAGACCAACAAGATCATCAGTCAAGGCGCAGTGCTGCAGAAAGAGATGAAGACGGTCGAGGAAAAGGTCATTCTGGACACCGATTATGCTGATGACATGGCTATTATGGACAACTCAGGGGAAGGCCTACAGGAGTCAACTGATCTATTAGTTCATTACAGCTCCTACGCTGGGCTCAGAATAAATGCAAAGAAGACCCAATGCATGGCTGTAAGCAAGTGCGCCTCCCAGCGACCTTTCATCAAGGATGATTGTATTGAGCTGTCGGTTGAGGGTGAACCCGTCGAGCAGGTTAGCAACTTTGTCTACCTGGGTGCAACTATCAGTGGGGATGGGACAATCAACAGAGACCTGGATGTCCGTATCCAGAAGGCTAATGGCGCCTTTCATCAGCTCTGGAACATTTGGAATAGCAGAACTATAAAGACTCCAACCAAGATCAGGATCTATAGGGCTGCTGTCCTCACCATCTTGTTGTATGGAGCTGAAGTCTGGAACACCACCAAAAAGCAGATGAAACGCTTTGAGGTTTTCCATCAAACCTCCTTGAGAAGGATCCTTAGGATTAAATGGTTCTTTCATGTGACCAACGACGAAGTTCTTAGGAGGGCTGGCATCAAGTCAGTTGAGACTTTCATCAGTGCTGCCAGGCTACGTTGGTATGGACATGTAGTTAGAATGCCAGACTCTAGACTACCGAGGTTTCTGTTGAACTGGAAGCCAAATTATGGAAAGAGGTCAAGGGGCAGACCCCGTAAGAACTGGAAGTCCTGCGTACTCGAAGATGCTGCTAAGTTTACAGGTGTTGAAAACATCGACAACGACACAACAGAAGCTTTGGCTACCAACCGAGTACAGTGGAGACATATGTTACGCCGCCAACGCGATGTGTGTGATGCAGGCCACTCCAACGACTAGGAGGAGACCTTACCATGTAACATGTATGTAACTCGGACTAAAGTCTTAAGTCGGTTAGTCAGTTTAACTTTGACACTAGAAAAAGTAGATGTGACAACATGAAACAGTGTGGAAACATGAAACGTTTCATTGAAGAGTGTTTTAGATACAATTAAGCGGGGAGTTTTTCCCGTTTCTATTTGTTGTCTATCTAGTTTCTAGAAAACGAGTCTTAGTTTCCCTCTTGATATTTGTTATGATAGGATTCTTCAGAATTCAAAGCAGCGATACCACCAATCACCATTCGTCACGTGCGATAATATTTGACATTGTTTCCACAAGCTATTTTTATATTTTCACAGCAAATGCCAATATATCGACCTTATTAATATGAAAAGAGCCCATACATCAGAGATCTTTCCCATTTTCATCAACAAACCCTAGCTGATGAACATAAGGGCCGGGTCAGCTCCATTGCTTAGTTACCTTGATTAACTTATCTTAATAAAATTATGACGACAATAACATAGGCACGAACCCATCTGAATTGTACCCTGTTAATAGTAACGTACCCCATAACAACACGTCAGATGAAAGGCGTAAGAATATTAGAAATAAGACGGTATTAGCCGCTCTCACCAGTATATCATACCAATCCTAGGATTAGTTACCCAAACAGTGCTTGTGTTCACCCGTGCAGATGTAATAACACTCGTTTGTTTGGGGGCATGACTGGAGGGATGCACTGAGGTGCTCTGTGCTGCAGCAAATGAATTGGCAGTCCCTTGGGATCATGAGCAAGGGTGCAAAATACAATTTGCCGGTCCTTGTTTCGAACAATTCCAGGGCAAAAAGTGTTTACTTCATCAGACAGCAGGGCTTCTACATTGAGTTGGTTATCCGGCGTATAGACTGCAGTGGGAACTGTGTACTCGTGCTCTCACCAAACTAGGTTAAAATATTCCCATCTCATATTATTCACCCAAATAGATAGATTTGTTTGGTTGCATGTAAATTGTGATAAGTTTAAATCATTTGCTGACAATGTTTCCTATGATTTTTGCGTGGTCAATGTGAGCATATAGTTTGATACTCAGATACAGCCAAATATTGGCTCAACATTACAAATTTAGCATATTGCGCAAAGTACTGACATTACCACACAAGTACTATGAGATATTGTGAGTGGGATAATTAAATAGTAATGACGTGCACCACACGTGCACCACACGTGCACCACACGTGCACCACACAGTAGAATGATCAGATATTAAATAATACGTTTGAGACGTGCACTGCAGAAATGATGTAATCTATTTAGCTGCCTGGATGCCATTGTTAAGGCGAAAACTGATTATATAAATGCGACGCTAAATTTAATATCTCAGCATAATTGTTGCTTGCGATGAACGATGTTCATCCGTCATAGGTTTTGCGCCAACCAAAAGCTTCATCAAAATAATATATCAAATGAATTTAAAATTTGCTTAATTTACCCCTTCCAAATAACAGGATTCTAGCGAATCTATCCTGCAACACATTGAGGCAACATTTTATACAATATATCTAAATAATATCGAATATCCATTTAATATACTTTCCTTTTAATAAGTTCAATATTTGAAACGAGAGAGGTAAATTAGTGACCTGGCTTTAAGATGACACCTTATAAACTATAAAGCTCTCCGATGTCGTACTGACGATTGGATAGAGTCTGACGGTGTTGGTCAAATGCATTTGCGCTTTGATAAAATTAATAAGCGCATTTGCACGAATATGTTATATATATGTATATAAAATGACCAATGGTCGGGTCCCGTGAGTGTTGGTCGGTCAATTTCCGATTGCTTTATTCACAAAATACTAAAGTACTAAGCGCTGTGAGGTTGTTTTACTTTTAATGACAGAATAAGTTAGCTCCTTCTTTGTTGGTGTAGGCTGACATGACTGTTTTACTCCGACGTTTTAATAACATATTTTATTCGTCAGTAGTCAGGATTCAGGTGTTATCTCTATATGTCAAACAGCGACGATCAAGGAGAATATATGTGTCAGATTCAGATAAGATGGTATTTAGCAATATGTAATTAATTAAATGGAGGTACTTTTAGTAACACATATCTCGATGCATATGTACTTGTGGGTCATACCCCATGGTCAATGACCATTGGTCATTCTTTGAAATCTGTGTCGCAAATATTTATCTCATAATATAATCGATTATATAGCGTTATGATGGTATAATTGATGCTGTTATAGTTTAGAGTCTCCAATAAAAAGGAGTTGTAGTCCTTGAACAATGAATATGTGACTTTTAAAGCAAATATTAAATGATATAGGAATAAGAACTTCGAATTTTCCCATCCAAGAAATATTTCCAATGAATATTATCGAATACTGTAATTGCGTTTCTCCCAGCAAACATAACTCACACAGAATAAATTGACTAATTTGTAGATGCGTAGATTTTTCTAGATCGATTGTGGTGGTGACAGCTGCAATCAATTAATTAACTAATTTCGTTATACCAACTTGTTCAGTACATGCCTTTTCTAAATTAACCAGTTTGTCGCTACAGTTAGTGGTGTGGTTAGTTGCCTAACCTAACCACTAACCAGCGACCATCTAGAAGTAGAACCACGGTATTCTCTAGCGTACCTCACTTATGCTACTTATCTTACTGATGCTATTAACGCTGAGATTAAATGTTATCTTGTGGAGCTCTGGCTGATCAACAGTTAATTTATCTGTGAAAGTAAAGAACCTAGACGTTAATGCAGTTTTTAATGGTATCACTTTTATGGCCAAGGTCTCAAGAAGTCCCATATTTACTTAAACGCAAAGGTGACTGGAATTCAGAACAGTCCTGCTGAAAGCCTGAACAACTCTGGTTGTCGACCACTTGATAGCTGTAGGGTTATAGGTTGTTGTAGACCACTAGGCACTAGACTTGATAGCTGTAGACTGGTTGCTAATGGACTGTGCACGTGTTGTTTGTTGATCGCTTATAAGCGATCAACATTTGAGGCAGGAACACCTGATCAGTGATCTTGGCAGCTATAGCTGATAAAATATTAGTGCCTTTTGTTTATGATAAGGGTAGTGATTATCAATGAATGGGATCAATACAATGACAGCAAATAAGGCACTCGCATTACAACACTCACATCACTCACAACACTCAGTCACAACACTCAGTCACAACACTCAGTCACAACACTCAGTCACATCACTCACATCACTCTGAGTGTTACAACACTCAGTGTCACACTTGTCTCACCTATTAATGTCACAGCTCCACCACGTGAAGGGCCTGAATATTATTAAGGTGTACTGTTAATACTGTTAATGCTTAAATAAGGTTGTTGTTCGAATGTTCGAGAATTTTATCTCTTTAGAAAAAGCAAGTTAAGGTTTTTACGTTCTCCAAGCTAAGATTTTCAATCCAGAAGTAAAAGCTTCGTGGTTATTCTGGTGAAACACTTGTCGGAGAATTTACCGGAAATTTGATTGTTGTCTAATACATGAAGCTTAGCATGGTTAAACGTTGTCTCATGTCGCGATACCTGATTTTGTTATAAATCAAATTTTTTGTTAAACTATTTCGTTAAACTATTTCGTTAAACTATTTCGTTAAACTATTTTGTTAAACCATTTTAATTTTTGTTAAACCATTTCGTGGCATTTGGCCGTGCACTTGGAGCAAGTTAAATGCTGATTGAAATAATATAATAATAATATGAATAACATACTTTCCTTGTCTCGATTTTTTTAATTAAGTATTACCATTTACCAAGCGTCGTTTTCACACAACTGCATCAGTTAATGATATCTCCAAATTTGTCCAAATTTATACCAATAAAAATAAAATGCCTTATATAAGAAATGAAACTCACCCAAAAATAGAGAGACAAGCGAAAACTTTGTTAAACATATTTATCCGACAGAAGAGGAGCAATATTATACACACGTCACAAAAAACAAGGTAAACTACACTGCACAGTAACTAGCACCTCTCTTGTTAAAACAACAATAGCTCCACCAACTTGCTGTGGTAATAACTTTGCGGATGACAATAACTTTGCGGAAAAGAGTAAGAACAGTTTCAACAAATGCTCCTGCGATAGTTAGCTGTATAGTGATCAGCTAGTACAATAGGTCTAATAAGTGCTTGTGTCCAATGTCAATCCTCCACGTATTTGAGCAGTTAATACTACCACATTTCACTTTCACCAGAGACCATCAAAAACATAGACCATCGAAAACTTAGACCAGATAACCTTAGTCATCACTACATGCCCCTCTCTCCTGACTCTTTTTTTTTCTGCTGTGAACCTCGAAATACTTGGACCAGTTAACTTGCATTGGTTCCTTACTCTTTTGTACCAGTAGGCAGCACAATATGTGCCATCCTGCACTGCAACTACCTTACCACCTGCCATCCAAAACACCGCCGGCTGTAACAGGCACTGGGCAGTTCATGAAATCAGAATTGTCAAATTTTAAACTGACACCTTCAGTACCAAGCGTTACTTTTGTTACTAGTATAGGCGGCGGTCAGCCTGTCATCCCACCATATCTTCATTCGTTTATGAACACTGAAGCATGGAAGTAAGATCCCCAGGTAATTTCTATTGCAAAGTCGTCCTGTTGGTGAAAGTCAGGACCATGCGAATCTTTACTATCGCCTTTAAGTCTACTCAAAACTCCGCTATGATTCACGCTACTTCTGATTGTAAATCTTTACTATCACTATCGCCTTTAAGTCTACTCAAAACTCCGCTATGATTCACGCTACTTCTGATTGTAAATCTTTACTATCACTATCGCCTTTAAGTCTACTCAAAACTCCGCTATGATTCACGCTACTTCTGATTGTAAATCTTTACTATCACTATCGCCTTTAAGTCTACTCAAAACTCCGCTATGATTCACGCTACTTCTGATTGTAAATCTTTACTATCACTATCGCCTTTAAGTCTACTCAAAACTCCGCTATGATTCACGCTACTTCTGATTGTAAATCTTTACTATCACTATCGCCTTTAAGTCTACTCAAAACTCCGCTATGATTCACGCTACTTCTGATTGTAAATCTTTACTATCACTATCGCCTTTAAGTCTACTCAAAACTCCGCTATGATTCACGCTACTTCTGATTGTAAATCTTTACTATCACTATCGCCTTTAAGTCTACTCAAAACTCCGCTATGATTCACGCTACTTCTGATTGTAAATCTTTACTATCACTATCGCCTTTAAGTCTACTCAAAACTCCGCTATTATTCACGCTACTTCTGATTGTAAATCTTTACTATAACTATCGCCTTCAAGTCTACTCAAAACTCCGCTATGATTCACGCTACTTCTGACTGTAAATCTTTACTATCGCCTTTAAGTCTACTCAAAACTCCGCTATGATTCACGCTACTTCTGATTGTAAATCTTTACTATCACTATCGCCTTTAAGTCTACTCAAAACTCCGCTATGATTCACGCTACTTCTAATTGTAAATCTTTACTATAACTATCGCCTTTAAGTCTACTCAAAACTCCGCTATGATTCACGCTACTTCTGATTGTAAATCTTTACTATAACTATCGCCTTTAAGTCTACTCAAAACTCCGCTATGATTCACGCTACTTCTAATTGTAAATCTTTACTATAACTATCGCCTTTAAGTCTACTCAAAACTCCGCTATGATTCACGCTACTTCTGATTGTAAATCTTTACAATAACTATCGCCTTTAAGTCTACTCAAAACTCCGCTATGATTCACGCTACTTCTGATTGTAAATCTTTCGTCCAGGAGTCAGGGCTTGTTATCACATTGATTTTAAGCCGATTTCCCGGGTATCTTTTAGAACCTGAACTGGATGTTTATTTACCAAAACGAATTGAGCTGTTTGGTCACTGTTTGCCGTTTGGTCACTGTTTGGTCACTGTTTGGTCACTGTTTAGGCACTGTCTACCTTGGAAGCAGAATAATGAGTGCGGAGAACGACTTTGATGTTAGGAAAGCAAAGGCATGGGGGGGCCTGTCATCAGTTAAAGACAACCTGGAAGTCTGGAATGCGCAGGGACTTAAAGATCCGTGTCTTCCGAGCAACGGTTGAGCCCGTACTCCTGTACGGCTCTGAAGCTTGGACGATAAGCCAATCCATGACTAAGCGGATCAATGGATGCTACACTAAAATGCTCCGGATGGCCTTGAACCACTGGGAGACTTTGGGGCCGAAAACTGATCCGGCCCCCAAAGAGGAGTCAGATCACGTCACCAATTAGTGACGTATAATTAGTGATGTGATCCATCTGTAGAATTTAATTGGCCCAGAAATAGGCTAGATACTGGGTAGAGTTCACATGTCAATTCTGTACAACATAGCTGTTCATTAAGAAGTAAACATGATCTGACTGCTCGACTCGTAGATCACATAAGGGACGGGAGCTCTTGCTAAAGGGGGGTTCTCGTATCAAGGGATGTGAGACGTACGTGTCAAAGGCTTGCAAGGGGAGTGAGCCGATCTAGTGTTATAGGTATAAATATTGGGTGATAGAAGGTAGTAGTATCGCATTTAATTCTATCAACAGTCATGCCTACCTTCTCCAAGTTCCTCAACGGTTTCAGAGGATGTAAACAGGTGCTTGATTCTGACGGATATATCTACAGCCGCAAGAAAAATGATGACACCGTCCTCTCCTCTGCTTGGCGTTGCCAGAAGAACAAATCCCTTAAATGTCCTGCCAAGTGCTATCTCGCTCTCACAGACAACAATCTTTCCCTTGGAAGTAAACCACACAACCACGATTCAGATCTGGCTACCCCACAGAGACTCGAACTCCTTACAACGCTCAAGAGGAAGGCTGCAGAACAACCCCTGTCGGCGACTCAGAACCTGATATCAGAAGTCCTTGCTGATGCTTCAACAGAAGTAAACCAGACGCTACCTAATATGGAATCCCTTGGAAAAGTCGTCCAACGAGTCACTGTTTGGTTACTGTTTGGTCACTGTTTAGTCACTGTTTAGGCACTGTTTGGTCACTGTTTGGTCACTGTTTGGTCACTGTTTAGTCACTGTTTGGTCACTGTTTGGTCACTGTTTGGTCACTGTTTAGTCACTGTTTGGTCACTGTTTGGTCACTGTTTGGTCACTGTTTAGTCACTGTTTGGTCACTGTTTAGGCACTGTTTGGTCACTGTTTGGCCGTATCTCGAGACACAGACTGATCTGTGTGGTTTTGACACTGCATGCAGTAGTGTGGCTTTTTGGCTGTGTAGTGTGGCTTTGTGGCTGTATAATAGACGATCATATACCAAATTAACCGCAGTACGTCTAGCCAAGAGATGGCACAGCAGGGTAGAGGACAAGCAACAACGACAATTGTTACTTAATATCAACCTCGATATTAATAAAGATTATTTGATTATGATGATAATATAATACACGAAGGAACTGTAGCAGTTGAACTTTTATACAGTATTCACTGAGACAGTTAAGTAGTTGTAGTGCAGTATTTGCTACTACTATCACTTACAAGCAGTAAACACCTTCGCCAGCAACTAACATGTATCTTATCTTGACTATGTGTATGTTGTTGTGTAATTTCAAATCTGTGCTCAAAGCATGACACAGTAACATATATTATTATATTCTATACTACGACATCGCATTTAAAATGCAAATTGATTGAGCATTATTATATTCGCTACTCAAATAGAGTTTTTCAAACTGATGTAATGTAAATTAAAAATAAAGCATGACATCGCTCCAAACTTTTACTATACGTATACCTCATTTTGCAAATGAAGTATTGGGATCATGTCAATTCTGCATGAAATAGTTTTGTAGTGCTCGGTAAATTGCATTGGTTTATAGGGCAAATTGCATTGCTTTGGCGAATATTAGCTCATTCTACGCTTATTTCATGTCAAATTAGCGTATATTTTTCATTCATAAGATTAAAAGCGCATGTGCTAGGCTCGTGATACGATGTGAGCATTCATCAGAGGATGAAATTACATTCAAACCCCACCGCACTCGTACTGCATTTATATCACCCTTTTAGGCGTAATATGAGTGTGCTCCAGCAATCCCTCGTCTGACGTCTTCTCGCGTTATTTGATTATAACTTTTAGAACTCTATATTATAACTTTATATTACAACTTAACACTAACAGTATAAATCTATCGATTTTTTATAAAACAAGAATGCCCAGTTATTACCCCGAACAGATTAAGAGTGAAGCTTGTCTGGGATATATAGCTATTTAGTCATTATTTGATTAAATTTATTCGCTTGAATAAAAGTTTTGCACTAATTTAAATACCAAAACTCGAATAGGGTCCTCTCAGAGGTGCTTGCAATTTAATTAGGTCGTATGTGAGATTGCTGATAGTCAGTTCATATCATGATTGCGTAAGTTTTGACGCAGGCTTCCCAAAGCTCCTCATTTTCTCATGAAAATGAAATTCGCAATGATTCCCACAATAAATATTGCTGTTAATCTGAGTGAACCCCCCCCCCCCCCCCCCCCCCCTTAATCTGAGTCTTGTTCTACATTACCCCAATTTCTCACTACACTAACTATTTTATATTGTTATTTGTTGCTTAAATTCTACTTTTTGAGAAAACTGCAGACTATCATTGACATTTTGATTAGGCTGTCATGTATCAACGATTATACACATGGCATAGTTACGCAGCCTTTTCAGATACGATATCAATATTTAACACACAATTTAAACAAGATATGAATAAACTTCGTGCAAAATTTCAGCTCGATGTCACAAGAAATTATTAAGTTATAGGTTATAGCCTCTCCATGAAACAAATTGTGCTTAAATCCGAAAAATGCACTTTGACCAGGAAATGCTCGATTACAAAAATGCCAATCCTCAAATTTTGGTGTGGAAACGGTGCGCTAGATGGTCACTGAACTTCCTAAGAGTCATTTAGGCTGGACAGTTTTGGTGTATGCCCCTTTAAATAATCATTCTACTGCGTCGTGGTTTTATTTCT